TGATCCCTCTGCCAATACTGAGTGCGCTTAACCGTTTATAGGCAGAAATGTGCAGTAGTCCAATGTGTCTTCTTTTCACACTAGGGGAAACAGTTTTCTTATTTATAGCATTTTCCCTATAATAAGATAGCAATTTAAATGTCACTATGATGGTTTTATCTTACCTGTGACTTGCACAGCAGCTGCAGTGTGGCTGAGGGTGAGATGAAGCTAGGTTGCTTTTTCACCATGAATTAGACTCATCCTAGTTTCCTGGTGACTTAAAGAGACGGGGGGAGTTTATCAAAGCAATTGCTACAGTTTTAGTCTCTTAGATCATATTTGTTATGTGCAAATCTTGCCTGTTTTTGACCTGAGCTTGCATTACTTTTCCAATTGCAGTTTTTTTGCAACTGTTCTCATCTGCACTTGTTTTGCGGCTGTCTGAAACTGGAGCATCACCTACCCTGTTTCCCTGAAAATAAGACCTACCCCGAAAATAAGACCTAGTACTATTTTTGGGCATTTGCTAAAATATAAGACCTACCCCAAAAATAAGACCTAGTTGTGACCATTGCCAGGGCTAGTGGTGGCATAAGGGGGAACCTAAAGAGCCGCGGGAGAGAATCAGCGGTGCCAATGAATGGAAAGGTATGGCACCCCTGATTGCCCTGATCACCCCATTCTTAACTTTGCCATTTTGGATTATTTAATTTGGATTTGCATTAACTTTGGATTGTTATAAATGAAAAAATAAAAATAAGACCTACCCCGAAAATAAGACCTAGTGCGTTTTTTTGAGCAAAAAAAAAAATATAAGGGGAAACACAGTAACAAAACAATCGCAACTTAAGAAGTCCCCATGACCATTTCTTCAAGAAGCGACAGTTAAGCTTTTTGCCTGGAGTTACGAGTCTTCTTTCCAGGAGTCTATTTAACCTAATTTATGAACAACATTACATTAGCAACATAAATCTGTTGCAAAGTGCGTCAAATATTTTCTGTGCAAGTTCAAACACTCGCAATTGCTGTGATAAATTAACCCCAATGTGTCATGAAAAAAACAAGAGGAACTGCTGTGGGTCTCCTATTCAGGTATGTAGAGGGGCCTGTACATACCTGCAGCAGTCTAAAATACAGTGGTACCTCGGTTCACTAACCTAATTCGTTCCACGATTCTGGTCGCGAACCGAATTGGTCGCAAACCAAATCAAACTGTGATCAAAACGCGATCTCGACTAGAGGAAGCCATGACCACGTGTCAGAGCAGGGAAGATGATCGTGTTTGTCACCCAATGTGGAGTTCGCGAACAGAAGCAAAATTTTGCAGAACTTTCTGTTCGCGAACAGAAGCGTCCGTGAACCGAGGTATTACTGTATGTTCCAGCCAAGGTATCCTCCATGTGTATTGTTGGAGCTGCAAGACTTGACTCAGATTGGACGCTGTTTATCCAGATTTTCCCATTACCAGATCCAAGGCTACCACCTCTAGTGGGTGCATAGATTTTATTTGTTTCATTTGATCTCTATATAGTAGACTATAAACACCTCCAGTCATGGCTGAATTTCAGGCTGTTCTGCCAAATAAAGCTTTGGCATTTCCTGATAGTCCAGCCTCACTTTGCTTTTCTTTTTTTCTGTAACAGTGTCCTGTGTGTGTTACACTAATCTAGCCCTCTCCTTCCCTCCTCCATGCTTTGTGCACCCAAAGTTTAGTGGTCTCCATAATGACATTGTCATACAAGACCTTCATCAGTGGCCTGGCTGTCATAAAATACACCCCCTTGCGCTCTGGAATCACAGGCAGTGCCATCATCTATGCAGCTGTGCCCTGTGTAGCCATGGCATACAGTAATGTAAGCTATCCAGAAATGGCCACTACATTCATGAAGCTCCGGTGACTATGTGGACAAGTCATTGCAGTGTGAATGGGTGACATCTTTTTACTTCTCGAAGCTCTTGATGGTGCCAGGGAGGAAGAAGGACCTCTGGGTACACCCACATGCCTGGAAAGGAATTGCTATTTTCCAGGAGAAAGGCTACTTTTTAGGATAGTCATATGTTCTATAAAAGAGTAAATACAAGATAATGATTTTGTATTGATTTATTTTATCCTCTACTTCCTTTGCTGTGTATGTCCTGGCTTTCGCGGTGAGCTGCTGGAGCGGAATCTCATGGAAGATGGACAAAACAGCTTATTGTTTATGAGCTGTAATTAATGCAGCTATTTGCTCAGAGCACACTGAAGATATAAAACATCTTACAAGCAGATTTGCATCTGTCATGCTGGCCAAACAGCATGTTTTCTCGCAGGATCACACAGAGTACACAATGCCTCTTCCTGCATTAAACAAGCTCACTCATTGGAAAATGCTACTAGAAGATGCTGTTGTTTTGAAGACCAGAATTTGACTTGCCCATGTAGAACAGTTGGCATCTGGGAAATGCAAACTCTTTGCTTCTTTTTATTATGTAAATAAATCCAGGTATCTTCTTTCCAGTAAACTAAGCCATTACCGCCAGAATTTTCAAGTGCCTACCTGCTGTATGGCTCTTCCTCTCTGGCTTACAGGCAAAGTAGAACCAAAACTGTGATGTTGGCATAGATGTCGGTATTGGACATACTGGACATAATGTCCAGTTAGTTTCTTCCATGGCATCAATTTTGGGGCAGAGTGGTATCTTTGGAAAACTTTTTTTTTTTTACACATTGATAGTTTGCTAGGCACAAATAGAGCTCTACAATTATCAATACATTAAATAGGAACTGTACCCATATCTTTGAAATGACAACAAATCCACTTTTAGAAATGTTTAGTAATGACAATCTACAAACAGATGCTTCTAGATAATTGCCGGCTTTTTATTTTTTGCATACCTTTATTTTTTTCCCCTCCCCATTCTTCTCACAGTGGCTATTTGTTTTACTATGGGCAGATGAATCCATCTCCTATTACTTCCTGGAACTCTGGTACATGTGACTAGGACATGTGGCCAGGACATGTGACTATACACCATCGCAGGGGAGAAAAATACCTTTCCCTGAAATCCTCATGAGATTTCCCAGCAATGCTCTGCTGATGTAATCTTCCCAGGATGCATCGCTAGGGCACAGATTACGTCACTAATGACCAAGAGTGCCAGGAAGTGGGAAAACAGTAATTGTAAGTAAAATAAAATATGTCTGTTTTAATCATTTGTAAGATCTGCAGAGCTGCATGCTGATGTGATTTTTAGTGAAAGGGGGTAAAGGTTCGCTTTTAAGGCTTTTTTGACCAAGTATAAGTATACAACAGTACCAGCTGGACATGTTGACCTAGCTTTGCTAAGTGTCTATGTAACCTTCACTTGAATCGATGCCTCTGGAATGAGCATATGTTTATAGCTTTTAGTAAATATTAATATAGAAAAGGTGTTTTCTAGTTTAGAAAAGCATTGCTAGGTTCCAGCAAAAACACTAGCAGTACAAGAGATGTTGTCACGTATTTTTATTTTTTTTAAATTTTTTTATTGGATGTAAAATGGCAATAGTTTGCTGCTTATGTTTACAGACTTTATTTTGATGGTCTTCCTCTTTCCTGGAGAAAACAATAATTGCGTTCAGTTTGTCAGCCATTGAAACAATTTAATATTTGTTTTTAAAAAAATCCTTAGAGCAAGTACCCCATGGTCCCTGCTACTAACTTTGTTAGTCCAAACACCCTCTTCTGTGTATCTCTCTGATTTAGCTTCACTTTGTTAGTAGGGGATTGACTTCCCTAACTTCAGGATGTTGCCCTGCCCAACTACCATCCATCTGTCCAATGAGAGTGTAAGTATTAGGGCTACTGTTATTCAGGGCTGCAACCAACTAATCGATTAATCTATCATAATCAATTTATGAGAATAGTTGTCAACTATTTTCATTATCGATTAGTTGGTTGGATCACCTAGCTCTCTCCTCCACGCTGGGAGGAGGGCACAGCAAGCAGTGGGCGGGTGCAATAGCCAGCCTGCTATTGCAATTTGAAATAGCCCATAGCAGGCTGGCTATTGCACCAGCCCACTACCTGCTGTATTTACATTCAGCTGCCATCTACGGAATCTTGCAATGGCAGCTGTCATGCCCTGGCTGAAGCTATTCAAGCGCCATGTGCTTACAATAAAATTATATATATATATAAGATGAGACAAAAGTCTTTGGTTTCGACCTGACAAATTCTGCTGTGGGAGGTGCGTTGCAGTGCCATTCATTTTAATGGCACCTCAATCGCGCTTCCCACCCGCAGTGTGATTGTCTGCACTGGAAAGCACAGTACCACAATGCTGTGCTTTCCAGTGCAGTGCGATTGCAAAAAATTGACATGTAGTTTTATTCTAAAGTAAACTTTGTAACACTGCATTTGTGTATTTTATTTTAAATTTAAGGATGGTATTTAATTTGTTTTGTCCGATTAATCGAAAAAATCATTGGCCAACTAATCGATTATGAAAATAATCATTAGTTGCAGCCCTGCTGTTATTGGATGGTGTTTTGCCAGGTTGGCGAGGCTTAGCCCAGAAGTCAGACCAGTCTTAGTGGCAAAATAAAATCAGAGGCATCCAGCAGAATTATTTCCCAACTGATAAAGGTAAAAGCAGACACGATATTGTCCCTGCTCTTTTATATGTTAATAGCGTAGCTTGCTTTAATTTTTGGGGGTTTTCAGACTGGTGTTGGAAATGAGGACCGTTATGAGGAACAATGAGTGTTTAGTCAAATAAGGAGTTTAACGATTACTTTTATATCTGTGTATTCCAGCCCAAATATGTGCCCTTTGTAATGCGCTAGGCCAGTGTTCAAGATTCTGCAACATTGCACATTGAATGAATAGGCTGGCTACCTTGCCTGTAGGTGATTGGTACTTTGCCCTTTACCCTCCTTCCTTCTCTTCTGCTGGAGACTGACGCTTCTGCTCTTTGCTTCTGGGTCTCCCTAGCCTCTCTGCTACCCTCCCGGCCAGGCTTCCTGAGTTGCTGACATTGTCTTATTTGCGTTACAGAATTCACAGTTGGAAGAAAGTGAAACTGAAGTTTTCTGCTGCCAGTGTGAAGATACAGAACACTTAAATGGTACCAATGTACGTATAACGTAGTATATAGACTCCTTTCTAGGTGTGTGCTGTACCAGGGGTAAAATCTACAAATGAACCTTAATGAGCAGCCATTACAAATGAGGTTCTGGAGCGGATAGAAAATTGTCTCCTTTTTTCTTTTGTTCATATACGTCTTCAGGTATTTTGATTTGGAAGGGAATATGGTGACCAGCATTTTTGTGTCACTGGCCACCTAGTAGGATCACAATAGGATCTTTTTTTTCGTTCAATAATTTTTATTGACCTTTTTCAAAGCATTTTAACAGTCAAATGTTGCAGAAATATAGAAACATTAGGTAGCTTACAAAGCTGGAGTCATTATCTTTTTCAATACAATACGTGAAGGGATTAAATATCAGATTGGGAGCAATAGCAATCTAACATTGAGGTTTTTAATATGCTGCTCACTACTTCGTTAAAGCCAGCTTAACCCCACATGGATGTGTACATTCAAACAGAAGTAAATATCTTTCTCCCCTAATTGGGAGAAGGGATAAAGTAGGATTGAGAGGAAGATCAGTAGTGTTAGTTAAGCGGGCCATACACTTTACAACCCTCGCAAGACTTTTTAAAAACGTACGATCTGCCCATCATGGGCAGGCAGATCGTACTTGTGATCATCGCAAGCCCGCCCCGCTGAGGGGCAGGCTTCCGATTGACTGCAATGCTTAACGGGCAGTGTGCACACACCGACCCGTTCGGCATCTGTCGAACAAGCACGCCACTAACCGTCAAACAAGCAGGCTGGGAAACAAGGGGCAAGACAGAGCGCCTCCATAGTGTAAAAGTGTAATTTATTTGTACAACACGCAAATAAAAATGTACTTACAGGAAAGTCGGTGGTTAAAAGCATACAAATGGTGATAAGTATAAAATCTCTAGCAGCGGAAGTCTGAAGGAGTACAGCACATCAGCGTCCTCTGCCCCCTTGAGTTCTAAAGGTCTACTCGTTTCAGGGGCACGCCCCCTTCATCAGAACCTCGAGAGCATCCTTCGATGCTCATAGTTCTCCTTTAAGCATTAGAAGTGCACCGAAATGGCAATTTCAAAACTGAAACGAAACCTAAATTTTAAAAAAAGTCAGGCCGAAACCTAAAATGTTTTTTTTTATTTTTTTTCTAATTTTTCAAAATTTGGATCTTAAACTTGATTCGGTTCGATATTCGTTTTTCAGATTGCTGATCCATTTGAATCTCCGGTTTTCGTTTCACATCAAAAAATCATTTTTTGTTTTTCATTATGAATCTTGTATCCACAATTATTAACAGAAGGTGATGTAGATCACTCCAATTCATTCATAATTGAGGATATAGTAAAGCTACTCTGTCCTCAATTATGTACAAACACTCAGAGATCACTGATCACTGAGTGTTTGTACTCGCTCTCCATCCTGACAGCTGTCACAGGAGGCTGAGCGAGCGGAGCAGGGAGTAGAGCTCAGCCTCCTGTGACAGCGTGTGCTGTCTCCACCCCCACACCGCTCTGCCGGACTGTGACAGGAGGCTGAGCAGTGTGGGGAGGAGAGACGCTGGCCGCTCACAGCACTCTCCTCCCGCAGCGCTCGGCCACCTGTGACAGTTTCTCTTCTCCCCGTTGGGACACAGAGCTCCTCCCAGCGGGGGAGGAAAGAAAGCAGGGATGCGCCGCTGTATCGGCAGAAAAATTGCACTTTTGGCATTTAGCCAAAAGTGCCATTTTCGGCCGATTATGTTTCAGTGGCTAATATATCGGTGCATCCCTATTAAGCATATCAATGTATAGCAGATCTAAACCCAGAAACAAAAACAAATTATATTGCAGCTTAACAGTGCATACATTTCTTTTTTCATGGGTTTTTTATAATGTTTATATTGACCTGGTAATCCTGCAAAAAACACACTGTCCCTGTCCTTTCGTGGCTATGCTCACTCCTTCACTGTATCTATGGATGGAGCCATTGTTGTCACACTGGCTGAACTTTAAACATGTCTGCTATCATTTATCTCCTTTACTGTGGGATGGGAAGATTAGTAGAAGATGATACTTTCATTTTAGCTCACTGAAAGTGGTAAGGACACTGTTTCTTTCAAGATCTGCAGGTATTTGCTGTACTTGCTGAAAAATGTTCTTGAAAAAAGAAAACTAATGCATAACATTGGTAAGCTGTTCTTGAGTTTAGTTGTCATTTTAGGAATGTTTTCCTTGCTTGATAGTATTTATTGGATTGCTCCTGTGTGAGAAGCCCTTTCATTTCAGACCTTCTAGTGGAGGATTTATCTCCTGCCATATTTTTCTACGACTTTCCAAGTTCCTCTAGTCTCATGGGGAGAGGCCCAGACATGACCAAGGCATTTTTCATATCTTTTTTACAATAAAGAGATGTAGATTACAGCAGCAATATTGTAGAGGTGGGACAGTGTCACCCTCAGGCATATTCCTTGCCTGCTTTCATGTACAGTTTGCTGATTACAGCGGTTTCATTTTATTGAACCTGAGGGAACATGAAAAATAGTTGTAAAAGAGTAAAAATTATTAGTCATTAGCAAACTGTTTCTTTATCCCAATTGAGATGTTTAAACATCATTTTCCTAAGCAGCTATTCAATGTTACGTTAAGGAACTGTGCAGGTGTTGTGTGGAATGTAATGTGTACACTGAGTGGCCAGATTATTATGACCACCCCATCAGTTCTTCGTTGGGCCAGAAGATGACTCCACGAGATGACTTTGTTGGGCCGCCTCGTGACTCCACAAGATGTTGAAAGGTGATGCGAGGAATCTGACACTGCACTGTTGCCCTTCTGTTGTCTTGTACCAGTCTTGCCACTCTCCGTTCTGCCCTAACATTGACTAGTCGCTGACGGCCACAATTCGCACGTTCAGACCCAGATTTTCGGCTGACAGTCCGGTCTTTAAACACTTTAACAACAGCTGCTCTTGAACATTTAACAAATTCTGCTGTTTTGCTGATACTCGCTCCATGGCTCCGAGCGCCAACAATCATCCCACGTTCAAAGGCTATTAATTCGCGTTGTTTACCCGTATCTTCAGAAACAAATCACTTCTACTGTCGTGGTAAATAACCTGCTTCCCTATTTATAATGGTCTGGCCCTCTAGCAACTTCAGCGCCAAATTATAGCTAATTTGCCTACAAACTTCAGGTGGTCATAATAATGTGGCCACTCAGTGTATATACCTTCTGTATATGATTTGTCTGATGGACCCCATTTCACAGGTTCCTTGTAAACAACAGTAGGGTCTTATTGTATGCATTCCTTAAAGCGCATTTCCACCTTTGCTGAGGTATTTAAAAAAAAAAAAAATGCCAGCAATGTACACCAAGTTTACATGAAGCAGGCATATGCAGTTGCTGCGCCGCATGCCTTCAGAATAAAAACAAAAAAAAACACTATAGGATTGCATAGCTAGATACCTATTGGCTATTTCACTTTGCAATGGCCAATAACAAACTAGCTATTGCACCCGCCCTCTGCTGCTGTCAATCACTTCAGGTCCCCCCCTGCTGATTGCTGATGGAGAACTTCTTCAGGTTCCCCTCTGCTGATTGGCAGCAGAGGGCAGGTGCAATAGCTAGTTTGCTATTGGCTATTGCAAAGTGAAATACCCAATAGGAATCTAGCTATTCATTCCTAAGGTGTTTTTTTTTTTTTTTTCTGACTTCCGGCGGCCCCCGATGTCAGAAAAAAAAAAGCTTGCAGGGAAAAGTTTACTCTGCTCGATCGAGGAGCGGGAGACTATCTAATAGCGGGGGACTCTAGGGTGACCCCTGACAAATTGTCATTCGACCCCCTACGGGGTCGCGACCCACAGGTTGAGAACCGCTGCTGTATATGAACATAGAAACGTACTTTTTTTTTTTTGTTAGCTTTCCTCTTCATATCCTGAGCTGGTGTGCAGTGATCATATTACAGTGACTCACAGGGAGGGGGTCAGCTGCTTTACAGTCCAAATGTAGACGTAGTAGTCGCTCGCACGCCAGGATCCAATGCATCAATCCGTCCTTTTATTGACGTCGGATACAAAGCAACGTTTCGGAACCTAGCATGGTCCCTTCATCAGGCAAGAAGCACGGTGACGGTGCTTCTTGCCTAATGCAGGGACCATGCTAGGTCCCGAAACATTGCTTTGTACTTGTGATGCCACGTGTATCTGACGTCGATAAAAGGACAGATTGATGCATTGGACCTAGGTGTGCAAGTGACTACTACTTCTACATTTGGATTTATGCCACGCCATCCACATATAATTTTGCATCCTCTATTATATTACCATGGGATTCCGGTCTGGCAGTGCAATGGGACAGGAATAAACTGCTTTACAATCTGACGACACGGTATCAGACCGAATTTCCTGTGGAGAAAGCTTTGAATTTCTAGGATTCAGACCTAATAAAATCTTCATAAAAAATGAAGAAAGCCAGCAATGTGAGTCATGAAAATGTGCTCATGTATACATTATCCCCACACCTCTACATTACCACAATGAATGCTAATCACTTACAAAGGTGGAAATGGACTTTAAGACTAAAGTGCTGTGGTTGAATTTTGGATTTACGCTACTAAAATGAGACATGCGGGATCCCTTTTGTTGTTGCATTTAGTGGTCAGGATCAAATTAATATTCCCATTGTGCATGCCCAAAGACATTCTCTTGTATACCAGCCAGCCCCCAAATCCTGGCACCTGCCAAACTTTGAGAAAACGCCAGGCAAAGTTTGAAAACTCCAGACAAACCACTAAATACTTACATAAAATGCATATAAATTAGCTGTGTTACCTGACAAAGGATTTTTATTTCTGTCCATCCAGTCCTGAGATTTACACAGTCCTAATACGCAAAACAGCCAGGACGATGACACCAGTTTCTCTGTTACAAGTATAAATTGTAGGTGGGATGCAGTGGTGTCCTCTCCTCACCCACAACCTGATGAATGGACAGTGAAAGAGCAGCAGCGGACTGATAATGTCATCCTCTGCTCACTCTCCT